TCGCCTACCCCAGCCCAGCCCGCTCCAGAGCATATCGAAGAGCCTGGGCAAGATGTTCCAAAGCCCCAACAGGAGCCTGACGAGCCTTGGCTCCAGGCGGATACACCTTGCCTATACAAAATCACGGGGAAAGCGGTGGCCTATGCAGATATCGCCGATCTGGCCTGCTACAATCACGACCTGCCTATGCTCTGGAAATCAGCCGAGTCAATCAGTTTCGACAAGCATCTCAACCGCCTGGAAGTCTGGGCGTTCATACAACGCCGGCCTATTTACCGCTCACAGGGGGCCTGGGCGCCCAAGTCAGCATTCCGCGACATGCCGCCTCCACCAGATTTCTTCTGCCCACGGTTGGCGGAGCCCGCCGACGAGCCTACTCCAGTACCAGTTCCAGTCGGAGAACCCCAGGCCTCAGCCAAACAAGCCTGGGCCGATGTCACGGACGAAGCCGACGATGTCCCGGCGTCAGCGGCCCCGGAACAAAGCCCAGACACAGCTCGCCAGCCTATTAAACGGCCAGCTAATAAATGCCCGCCCTCCTTCGACACCCAACAGTATCTCCGGCCTGTCCCGGACCAGGAATACCTGCCCAAGCCGGAGGAGCCTACCATCCCGGTCAAGGCTATACCGACTGTCCCCAAATCGCCTACAGTCAATCCACCTCCGCCCAAGGCAGACCCGGCACAGCCCTCTCGTCTACTTCCTCTACAGCCGATTGCCAAGGCACCAAGCCCAGCCGACCCGGACTTTATCATCAACCAAGCCAATGGGCAGCGCCTCAAGATGGAAGATATAAACTCCGACGTTTGGGAGCCCTCGGAGAATGAGCTTGACCCTCGCCTACAGCCTACGTTTACTGGTACCAAGCCAGGGCCTCCATTCGGATCAATTATGATCTTTCAGGGTAAGCCTTGGGTTAATGCCTATGGGGGCCATCTGCCAGAACACCCTATGTTCGCCGTGGACTGGCCTTGGTATACAGCCTACAAAGACGACCTAACCTGCGTCGTTGCCGATATGCCGCCCTGGGATCTCAGCCGATGGGTGGAACTAGAAACGCGGTCAGGACGGCCTATCTTGCCCTCGCCTCTTTCACACGCTCGCCCCGCGTCGCCTCCATCCTCCGACGAGGAGGAGCCGGAGTACGACAACTTGCGGCGCCAGGGGGGTGGGCAACCCCCGGAACATTCATCCAGCCCATCGGGAGCCTATTCGAGCCCAGTCCACCGACGGTTTCCCAATGGACGTCTTCCACAGCCGCAAGAACGAGCGTATCCAGCCCCCGCGCAGCCTCTTTCACACTGAGCCGCCGGTCTTCGCCGATAGGCCTCATCACAGAGCCTTAAGGGGATGCATCATGCTCCCCAGCCTCATCCTGCCGGACACCTACCACGTGCACCCTGACTATGCGCGAGCCTATTATGCCGACAACAACGGCCACCTACGATGTATGCTGCCGTGCTCTACCACTCCTTTTTGCCCCTTCCATAGCGCATGTGCACGGCCGATCCACGCTGGTACAGCCGAAAGCTCTGATGACCATACAGGTCATCAGTGCAGCCGATGCAAAGAATTCGCAGATCTCAACCGTAGCCCATTCGAGTGGTTTGGAGTGCCTAGAGACATCATCAACTGAAGCCTGCCACAGCCTCTTTTTTCCAAGCCTCGCCGAGGGCATCTGCTGTCTCACGGCTTTGTACTCTACAGCCTATAACATGCTACGCCTGAAAGAACGTGTGCGTGTGCAACGCGGCAGTCCCATCCCACAGGCGTGCCCAGTAGCCATCTTGCAAATGTCTGCCCGATGACAGGCCTTTAGACTGCGCCGCCATAGCCATAGCCTCAGCAGCCTCTGAGCCGACTCCAGACCTTTGCACCTGTCTCGACTCAGCCATGTCGGATCTTAGCTCCCCCGAGAAGCCTGGGAGCGATTCTAGCCAGGACATCAGCACATTGTTGTCATGGACGGAGGTACACTCTCTCAGGTCTCCCTCCCCGGCAAATCGGGAGCAACCGCCAAGCACGGTGGAGCCCCTGCCGACATCACCAGAGCCGGCAGCCGATCAACCGAGGGCACCTATAGCTTCGCCTACAGCCATCACTTCACCCCCAGCACAGCAGGGCGGACACTCGCAGGCGGTGTGCATAGCCAAGAGATTCCGTGCCCGGAGCCAAAGCCGACAGCCCCAGTTGCCACTTCAATGTGCTTCCGTTTCAACTCAGGAACGGTCAGACCCTCGGGATCACGATGTCAGACCCCCCACACCTGCAGGTCCTGCCCTCTGGCCTCAACCAAAGCCTTTTCAGCCTCAGCCCCGGTTGACGCTACGCCCGACCCCTCCCTTTTCAGTTGCATCAATCAAGCGGCCTCGCATGCCCTGGGATCTTCCAGGGCACGCAGTCGGCGGGGCAGACCCAAGCATTCGGACTCGAGCCAAGGCCTCGCTCCCTCTTTCTGCGTCCCAGAGCCTAGGTGGTCGCAGCCTTATTGGTCCAGCACTCCCTAAGCCTCCCCCTATGCTCAGACCGCCCCCGAAAAGCCTGCGGTTCTGCCCACCAGGACCCCCTGCGCATCGACAGCCTAGAGTGCCCCTGACATTTTCTGTCCAGGACCTTCCCTCAGCTAAGGTGAGACAAGATAAGAGACCCAGGCTCACGCGAGCCTCGCAGCCCATGCAGACCGACACGCCAGGCCCACTGCTGAGAGAACACCAGGAATCAGCCAGGAAAGCGGCGTGTTGCACCCAGTGGCGTCAGCTTCTAGAGATCCTGGGTCCTGAATACAGCTCACTACAGCAACACCTCATGAGCTCCAAGCATCCCGAAGGCCTAGCAGCCAAGAGCCTCGCACCTTTCACAGCCGGCACAGTGGAGAGATACTTGTCCCAGCCCGCCAGTTCATTGACTATCTGGCCTTCCACGGCATCGAGCTGGCAGCCTTGACCACAGCCCAGTTAGCCGATTTTTTGTACGCGTGTGAACAAGGCCTCGAGGAGGACAGGGAAATATGTCGCCTCGACCCCAAGTCTGCGCTCAAGGCCCTTTCGTGGATGTCACGTACAGCCGGCCTTTCGCCTCTCTGGACCATCCTTCAGGACAGCCTCGTCGTGGCCTTCCGATCCCAAAAAGTTGCCGACAGACGCGAAGCCCTGCCTCTCCCCCTGGCCGTGGTCGTAGCATGGGAGAGACGCCTCTGTCAAGCCGATTGCCCAGCCGACCTATGCATCCTGCTCGGAGAATTCCTACTGGCTCTGCACGGGGGTCTCAGTCTCAGGTTTGGCGATCTACAAAGGATTCGCTTGTCTAGCCTATCACTCACATCATCCAGCCTTCGAGGAGTCTGCTGGCAGACCAAGACGACACGCCAAGGCCAGCCGTTTGCAGTTACCCTCACGGGAATCTCTGGCAGGTCGGTCCAGACGCTCTGGGTGCTCCCATTCCTGCGCGCGGTTCAGGCCGCCTGGATAAGGACAGAACAGGCCTACGCACAGACCCTCTGTCCCGATTTCATACTCCCCACCCTCTCCAACCTAGGGGGAGCCAACTCTGCCGACTCCGCATATCACAGGCCTATGTCCTACAGCCAGAGCCTCAGCGCTATGCGCTTCGCCATGGGAGTCCCTTGGCAGCACTCTTCCCAGCCCTCCCCTGTCTCGCCCGAGGAAGCCATATGGCTTTTACGCTACATAGCCTCAAGGTCTGCCTCCTGTCCGCAGGCGCACAGGTCCGGGCTGCCGAACAGGCCAGGCAACATCAAGGGCACCACAAAAGCCCTAGTGTCCAATTATACAGTCGCGATGATACCTTGATGGCACTCGACTTGCAAGCCCAAATTTCACAAGCATGTGCGGATGGATGGCGACCCACGAGGCCCATAGCCAGAGGAGGACAGCCGCCTACATTGGAGCCTCCGTTTGATGTCCCCAGATCCACGCCACCTAGCAAATTCCTGCTGGAAGCCTTTGGGGAGGGCCTCTCGCGCTTCATCTACTCCAGAGAGGCAGAGCTAGAGAGGACGATCCGATCAGAGCCTGCGGAGGACATCCAGCACACGACGTCGGCATCGGGGGAAGCAGCCCCAGACATGGCAGCTATACCAGACGATGATCATGAAGCCCTCTTGGTCGCGCGTTTCGCGGCGGGACATGACTCTTCATCTGAATCAGACCAGCCCAAAGATTCTGAGCCGAGCGCGCCTACGGCTTTCAGCCTATTCCGAAACTGACCTTGGGGGTGCATACATGCATGTCTTGAAGCCTCGGACAAGGCCGCGTGCGGCGCGATGCGCTCTGCCGCAGCTTTTAGCCCCTCCGAGCCAGACCCTACATTTTTCTGCCGCAGGAAAGCCTGCGCGAAGCTACTGGACTCCTGGGTCTGATAAAAGCCGGTCCGCTTAGAGCCTTCTACGCGACCGCACTCTCAGGACCGCTTGCCGCAGCACTCCCCTCAAGTTAGCTTTCGCATCCTTCAACCAGCCATGGCCAACGCACCAGCCTCTGAGCTGGCAAAGTTTCTCAAGGACCACGCGGTCCACGAAGTACTAGCCCACGCCTTGGCCCTCAAAGGCCTCGAGACCGTGGACGACCTCGCCTACGCATATCCCGAACTGGCCAGCCTCAGGCCTTTCGGAGGAGGACATGGGAGACATGGGGGCGGTAGACCCCCTGCACGGAGTACAGGCAGCCAAGCTCCGTAGAGCTCTTCGCATCGCGCATGGACTATCTCAACAAGCCGCACAGCCTTCGCCTACGCCGGAACCTCTGCCTTCAGTCCAATCCGCCCTCATCCCACAAGCCTCGCCCACTTCTTGGATGGAAAATCTGCCGCCTAAGCTTAGCTCCGAAGCCGTACAAGACCTCGTCAATGACTTCAAGCTTAATTACCCGAGGGAGCTCCTCGACGACGACACTATGCCGAGCATTCGCCTACTCAGCCTCGTTCAGCACAGCCTCAAGCCGGGCGAGAAGATCCGCTGGATCCCCTGGCAATTTCGCTTCAGTGCCAAGCAATATCAAGAGATTATGGAAGCCAAATCGTCCAAGCCTATGAGAACGGAGGCGCACATTCTCGCATCAGCCTTGTACGATGACACGCCGGAGATGGCGGTAGCCCACCTCAGACTATCAGCCTCTTGGCTCTCCCGCATTCAGACGGTTTTTCGCAATGCTTGGGCCCTATGCGGTGCAGCCCACCTGAATAATTTGAAAGCCTTTGACAAAAAAGTCCTGGACCTTGCCTTACCTGACCTGTCCGACACAAGCCTTCGGGGGCCTACCACGCAGGAGCTCCTGGCAGCCGACAGAAAGATTTGGGGTACCATACCCAATCTAGTCTCTACGGGCTGGAGCCTAGACGAGGCTTTCTACGAAGTCACAGCCATACGGAGTGACCTTAGTAATATGCTGCAGCCTCGCCCTAAGCCTAACCTGCCCCCGACTCCGCCTAAGCGCACAGATAGGCCTAGTACACCTACCCCGCCGCCCGGCAAGCGGTCTCGAGGCCTGCCGTTTACACCGCCTAGGAACCCCAAAAGGCCGTGGCCGAGGGGGCAAAGGTCTCAGCAAGTCGCCCAAAGCCGAAGACTGGCCAGCGAATTGGGTGGTCAAGGCCCATGGAAAGGTCCTATGCAAGCGCTACCAACGCAATGCATCCAACCTCCCCAATTGTAAGTTCGCCCATCTGTGCGCTGTGCGAGGATGCGGCAAGGAACACTGCGCCATCCACCACGACGGCAAGCCTTCGTGACTAGCACACCAGGACCTAGCCTTGTCCTGCCGAGAAGAGACCCCAGCTACCCGTAGCCCAGCTCCATTGCCCCTAGCCGAACCCCAGACCCCCATGCTTGAAGAGCATACGCCGGAACCTGCCTCAGGTCCTGCGAGGTCCCAAGGAGCCTCAGATCGCGCGGGGTCCCAAGGAGCCTCTACTCTCGAGTCCCGCCAAGGAACGGGCCCGCGCTCCTCTAGACGCTTTGCCAACAGAGTCTGGATGTCACCAGCTTATAAGAAAGCCAGACAAGACCGACTATTCCGAGAGCCTAAGGTGATCCTACTCGCAGAGGATAGTCCGGTTGCATCGAGTTGCGCCTCGGGGACGTCGGTGTTTCTTATTCTGGACAAGAAGCACTTCTTGTGGGCCTCCGAAGCCTTCGTCTCCGCCATACAGGACTCAGGCCTCAATCTATGCCCGTGCCCCGACGGAGATGCCATCTTCATGGCATCTTGCACCCTGCCAACCTGGCCCCTGCAGGATGACAACCTCACAGCCCTTGAGATAGCTGGCAGACTGTCGTGCCTCTCCACCAGCGGTAGTCAGGAAAGCTGCAGGTCTTTAGCCTCCCTGTTGAACCGGGACAAGCCCTTTGTTCCGAACAGGCCGCCTATTTGCGACGGTGCAGGAGCCGTAAGTTCAGCCGACCATAGCCTGCCCTCGGGTTCCGGCCTGTCGAGGGCTGCAGCGGCCCTCTCGAAGTGGGGATCAGCTTCAGACTTGCCCAAACGGGTCTTCAGCCACATAAGCCAGAGCCGTCCCGGACACCCGCTGTCCGAAGAGGAACAAAGCCAAGCACTACAGCACCTTTGCCAGGCCCTCGATCTCGACGCGGCAAGCATGGAGGTCGTAAGCCCGGGCCAGCATTTCCGCCTCAATCTCATGTCAGCATTAGCCTCAGCCACGGAAGACCCGGATAGCACTTTGCCTTCGATGCTGCATGAAGGAGTCCGCACGGGGGTTTTCGATGAAATCAAGCCC